TTACTAAGCCAGTCCGGAACTTTGGGGTCTTGTTTGACCCTCAACTATCCTTTCTATCCCATATCTGTGCCATGACCCGCTCTGCCTTCCCCCATTTCGGCAACATCGCCCGGCTCTGCCACTGTCTCACACCGCAGGCCGCCAAAACCCTCATACACACCTTCATTACATCGAGGCTCGACTATGCAAACTCACTGCTTATGAGCCTCCGCAACTCCTCCCTCCACAGACTGCAGATCATCCAGAACTCTGCAGCCTGTGTCCTCTGCCGCATCAGGCTCCGCAACCCTATCACCCCCATCCTCGCCTGACTCCACTGGCTTCCCATCACACAGAGGATACAGTTCAAGATCCTGGTCCTCACCTTCAAAGCCCCCCACAGTCTTGCTCTCCCCGTCCCCACCTCTGCGACCTCCTAACCCACAACCATCATGCTCACTTCCTCCGCCCAACGGGCTCCGGCTGCTTCATGTCCCCTGCCTCGTTTGCCCCACCATTGGCGGGCGGGCCTTCCGCCACTCTGCCCCCGCCTTCTGGAACTCCATCCCGCGGTCCCTCGTCTCGCCCCCTCCCTTGCCACCTTCAAGACCCATCTCAAGACCCTCCTCTTCGACCGTTCTTTCGATCTCCCTGCTTCCCCCCTGCCCACCCCGACCCCTACCCCCAGCTCAGGTCCGTAACTCTGTTGTTGTTGGCCATCGCTGTGTGCAAATTGGCTGCCGCATTCGCCTACAAAACACAGTCACCAGAACAACAACAATTATATTTATAACAATAACTTGCATTTATATAGCAGGGTAGCCCCCCGGAGCACTTCACAGTGGTACCTTTCACGTTGGAAAGACGTCCCAAGTCACTACACTTTACAGAATATCTGTGAAGCGCTTTGAGACGTCTTCCAGAAGTGAAGGCCTGATTTCAAATGTAAGGATTATTATAATAATAACTTCTCCCACTGTTTTGCTGAGTATGCTGCTGATCAGCACTTTCAGACATTCATTAACGTAGATGTCAGTATGTAAATGTAAGTTGCAGTTGATGATGATAAGGAGGTGTCAGACAGTGTATCACTCTTATATTTCTTCTGCACAGTGTACTGTGGTGCCAGCACACAGTGTGATTGAAAGCCATGCTACGTGTGGATTTGCTTGTGCTGTTTGTACATCTTTGATACATAGAAAAGTTAACTCCCGAGATAGCTGCTGTATCAACTGCGATGAAATACGAGAGACGTGACCACTGACACTTAGCCCACACAGGACTATTGCTGACTCTGTGAGGAACAGCTACTGCACACAATTGACTGCCACGTTTCGCCCAAAAAATATACAATTCACTTTACAGTATATTCCGTCTCAAAGACGTGATAAGGCACTATACAAGGATTATTATTATTATTATTATTACCACATTGTGTGAGATGGACAGTGTTAACACAGTGTGTGAGACAGACATTGTTAAATCTCTGAGCGTGGACGTGCTAGATGGGAGCATGGCTTTGCTTGGAATCCAAGCATTCCGTGGGAGGATCCGTGACACTGTATACAGCACCAAGGTCTTCCTGCAGCCCATGACTTCCCTGAGCTCAATCACGTAGGCTTTCCACTGCCTCAGCCCAGCTTTATTATATCACCTTCCAAAAATTTCCTACAGCCCATTTACTGCTCTATTTTTCTGGCTCTCACTGGCAATACAAATAATCCTTACATTTGATAAAACACCTTTCATGTCAGGAAGACATCTCATAGCGCTTTGTAGGATGTGCTGTAAAGTGTAGTGACTGTGTTTTGTAGATGAATGCGGCAGCCAGTTGCGAATAGCAATGTCTCACAAACAACCATGCAGTGAGTGACCAATTTTATTTGTGGATTGTTGTGGATGACACTGGGAGAGAGAAACTGCCCTCTTTTTCAGGTAACGCCATGGGATCTTTAACGTCCACCTGAACTGGCAGACAGGACCTCAGTTTAACATCTCACCTGAAGAAAGTTAGTTCTCACCCAGGACTTGATGTCTGACAGACATTCTGTCAGGACAGCAGTGGTCCTGGAATCAAGGGTGGAGGCAGAGAGGTAGAGTTGGGTGCCATCTGCAAACATGTGGAAGTTGATCTCATGTCTACGGATGATGTCACCAAGAGAGAGCATATAGATATTGAAGAGGAGGGGACCAAGGATAGAGCCCTGAGGAAAGCTACACAAGACAGTGCGGAGGCGAGATTAGAAGCCATTTGTGGAGATAAAGTGAAGGCAGTGTGAGAGGTACAATCTGAACCAGTCAAGGATAAAGCTGAGAAGGTTGAGGTGAGAAGCAAGGCGGTGGATGAAGATAGAGTGGTCGACAGTGTCGAAGGCAGCAGAGAGTTCAAGGAGGATGAGGAGGAAGAGGGAGCCCTCGTCACAGATGGACAGAATGTCATTTTTCACTTTTACCAGGGCAGTTTCTGTGCTGCGGGCGACATTGAAACCCAATTGGAGGGGTTCAAGAAGGTAGTGGCGGGAGAAGGAGCGAAGCTGAGAAGCAACAACTCGTTCCAGGACCTTGGAGAGGAAAGGGAGATTGGAGACGGAATGGTAATTTGGAGTAGAGTTTGGAAGGGTTTTTTAAGGATAGGAGTGATGATTATGGTTTTTAATGGTGTGGAAACAGTACCAGAGGACAAGGAGAGGTTTATGATATTTATGAATAGAGGGGTTGATCACTCACTTCATGGCACAAATAGCCATGAAGTGAGTGATCAATTTTATTTGGGGGGTTGTTGCTCAGGACAGAGGGAGAAACTCCCTTCTCTTATGGAATCGTACCATGAGATCTTTAACATCCACCTGAACAGGTAAACTTCTCACCCAAGTACAGCAACTTTGATAATGTGGCACTCCTCCCAACATTGGACTGGAATGTCAGACCAGACTGAGTTCAAATTCCCTGATCTGGGACTTTAATTCATAATATATTACACCCAATATATCTTTGATACAAAGAAAATGTAACTCTCAAGAATGCTAATAACTAAGCCAGGCTGCCACCTGTTGAGACAACTGAGGTCAGTGTTGGATAGAGAGAAATCCACAGGGAGAAAGGCAGTCCCAAATGGAATGACAAGAGAGGTCTTGAGTGAAGAGACATGGTAGCTGAAGGCTTGGCCTCTGATAGTCTAGTGGGTGGAAGGAGTTGAAAACACTAAACCTTAACCTGGCTCAATCCATAGATCTCTCACCTTTATGTCGGAAGTTTGTTGGTTTAAACCTTCACTATGCTGTGAGGAGTCCTGTAGCATAGTGGTTAGAGCACAACAGCAAATTGTGCAAGGCAGTGTCCCACAAACAATCATGGATTGAATGATCACATTTTTTTGCGGGCGGAGAGATTGTTACTCCCGGAGAGCGATCCGCCAATTAACTAACGACCAGGTTCCTACTTACTGCTAGTTAAAGAGAGGCACGTGGAGTAAGGAGACTTGCTTAAGGTTTCGCCCGGCCCGGGAATCAAACCTGGGTCCTCTCGCTTGCCTCTCGCTAACCACCTCACTACGGGACTCCGGGATTTCAGCGTTATCAAATTTTATTACAAATAAGAGACTGAGAAGCAGGTTACTGTTGTGCCCGTGTTTGTGTCTCAGTGCACAACTTAAGACTTTTCCTTCAGCCTCAGCCATACTGAGTGAGCACACTGGAACCATCCAACTCTGTCCATTCAGCCGGCAAGACAGAAAATCGTGTGCAAGTCTGCCCTCTGGTGGACAGAGGAGCTGCTCGCCATTCACAGTTACCAATTCTCTCACTTTAAAACTACAATTCTCTGAATCTCAATTATTAACCAGCTTTATCCCACCCCTTGCACTCTCCCCTTCACCTCACAGCCCCTGCCTCTTGCCGCAATCCTGCCTACCCGCTGTCTAGCTGGTCAAGCAGCAGGAAGCTTTCTGGTGCTTGTAATGTGTGGTTTTAGCTGGTTAAACTAAACTCCTACTCCGGGACTCCCCGAAGCCTCGACTCTCGTCAACCTGTGACTAATACTCTCTGGGATAGTTGCATACGTCTGTGGAATGTACTCTGTAGGCATCCGATCCCTATCTGATTGAGGGATGGTTCTTCGAACTTCTCAAGCTGGGTCCAACGACTTGAGACGCCCTCCCGACATGCAAGGTGTTATATAAAAGCAATTTGTTGTTGTTGTTTGGTGCTGTCAGAGCTGTAGACAGCACATGAAGGGACCTGCCAGAGAACTGCACACACAATAAGCATGGACCAAATTAGCCATATTCCGAGTCAAGTCCTCAGTTAAAGCCAGAAAATAACAACAAATTGCCTTTATACAGCGCCCATCATGTTGGGAGATTCCCACAGTGCAAAACCGTCGAGGGTTTGCACCTGAGTCGGTGGTTGGATTCGGCGAGGTGGGTGAGGAAAGATGACTAAAGGCCTGGTGAACGAGAAAGGTCTAAGTGACGGACCTTGAAGGAGGCGAGGGAAGGGCCGAAGTGGAAGGACTCCGGAATGGAGTTCCAGAGCATGAGGACAGAAAAGCTGAAACCCTGACAGTAGGTTGGGCAGGGGATGTGAAGCAACCGGTTTGGTAAGGGAGCAACCGGTTTGGTAAGGTTTTAGGTCAGAGAGGTAGGGTTGGGCGAGACCGTGGAGCGATTTAAAAGAGAGGATGAGGATCTTGAACTTAACCCTCTGGGGGTGGGGAACCTGCGGAGCTGGGGGATGATGGGGTGATCGGCTCCCAGAGCCTGGTGCGGGAGAGGACATGAGATACACCTGGAGAGAAGAGCTGGGGAGTCCGGTGAGCACAGTTGGTGGTGTCAAGCAAGGACGTGATGAATGTGTGGATGAGGGTCTCAGCGGCCTTAGAGGAGAGGTAATGGTGGAGGCGGGCGATGTAATGGAGGTGGAGGAAAGCGTTGGGAAGTCCGGCGAGCAGAGAGTTGGCTTAATCTAGCCTGACGTGATGAAAACCATAGATAAGGGTCTTTTTTTTCTTTTTAAATTTTTTTTAATAATAGGACCTTCCCACACAGAGTGTGGGTCTGTTTAGTCATGTTCCCACAACACAATGGAGCAGAGATCCAGAGACATAGACGTTCACTGGCCAGAGGCTCTGACAAGTCCAGTCACTGCACTATGACGGCAATTCCCAGTTGAAGAGGTTGCAGTCACGGTAACGAACGTGAGGTTTATCAAACTCTTGTTTTGGGATGAATTCCCCCTTCCCCCCACCTCCTCTCAGACAAATCTCTGAGCAATGGCAAGCACTTTGGAATACTCGCCCTCCTTGCTTCGGAGCTCACTGGGTAGCGGCACCTTGATGCGTGTCCCGGTGGGATTGCCGCTATCTTCGATTAACACTACGTTGTTGGAGTCAAAGCGGGCAGTCATGCGGGTGCCCGGCATGCGATGGCCGACAATCAGGGCCTTCTTCTTCTGCCCTTTAATGGCCAGCAGGACCTTGTCGCCCACCTTACCCACACCGTTCTTGGTGTACACGTGGATGCATTTGGGAGGCCGGTGGTATGGGGTGTTGCCCAGGGAGCTGTTGTCCACCACCCGCACACGAGTCATTTTCTGAAGGGCCGAGCAGGCTGCCGAGGCACTGAAACCAGAGGCACCAAACACAACTGTCTCAATAATAATAATAATAATAATAATCCTTGCATTTGATATAGCGCTTTTCACGTCGGGAGGACGTCCCAAAGCGCTTCACAGAATATACTGTAAAGTGAATTGACTGTATATTTGTGGGCGAACGCGGCAGCCAATTGCGCACAGCAATGTCCCACAAACAGTCGTAGATTGAAAATGACCAATTATTATTGTTTTTTGTTTTTTGGAGGGATTATTATTAGGCGTGTGGAGTAAGGAAACTTGCCCAAGGTTTCGCCCTGCCTGGAATTGAACTCAGGTCTCTCGCTTGCAAAGCGAGTGCTCTAACCACTGAGCTACAGGACTCCACTAATCTAATCTATTGATAATCATAATGGTCCTTGCATTTGACATAGCGCATTATCACGTTGTTGAGACGTCGCAAAGCGCTTAACAGAACATACTGTAAAGTGAATTAACTGTGTATTTTGTTTGTGAAACTCAGCAGCCAATTGCACATAGCAGTGTCCCACAAAGTCGTGGATTGAGTGACCAAATTATTATTATGATTTTTTTGAAGGATTATCCCCAGAAAGCGATCTGCCAATCGACTAACAACTGGGATCCTACTTACTGCTAGGTAAACAGCGGCATGTGTTTAGTAAGAAACTTGCCTAAGGTTTTATCCCGCCGGGGATTCTAACCTGGGTCCTCTCGCTTGTGAGGTGAGCAAGAGGACCCTCTGCATCTCCTTGGCTTAATGAATAGCCTCTGTGTTACAGATTGTTCTCCAGATTGCTGATCTGAGACTTCTGGCAACAACTGTTGGCAGGGGTTACCCGGAGTCTGAGTTTGTGAACACAGGTTCAGACATCCACAGAAATTCCCAAGCCTTGGCCATTGTCAACCTGCGCTTAATACTTTACAGAATTGGGTAAGCAGATGTGTCCCTCCAGGGGAGAGTGCACATTCCATTCCAACAAGCTCTCTCTGGAATATCCATGTGTAGGTGGGATGCATGGAATTCTCAGCTTGGTTTGGATACTCTTAAGCATGGGGATGGGCATACACCAGGTTCACCAAAATCAAATCAAATCACAGATTGTACCAAACAAACATGAGTGCCCAACGTACGTGGAGAGCACTGGGAGAAACTCCCTTCTCCTTCCCGTGAGGAATCTTTTAACGTCCTCCAGAACAGGCAGACAGGACCTCATCCAAAGGATGGCACCTCCAGTGACGTAGCGCTCCCGCACCCCCCCCCCCGCCCCCTCAGTACAGCAATGGAATATGAGTTCAAAGTACGGGCTTGAACCCAATGAAACTGACACACCAGCTGAAAGAGAAGCAGAAGGTGAATGATACCTGAAGGTTCGGCCGAGGACTTCAGTTGTTCTAATCAGTGATATGATGCTTCTCCTGAACATCGCCATGGTGCAGCTTGGAAAGCAAATAAAATGCCACTGAGACAAGACAGGATTATCGACATACTAATCACAAAGGAAGAAATCACAGAATTATCGAATCTTACAGCAAAGAAGGACGCCATTCGATCCATAGTTGGTGTCTGTGCCAGTTCTTTGAACGAGCTATCAACTAATACCACTCCCCTGCTTACCCTATAGCTCTGCAAATGTTTGCTTTTTAACTACTTATCCAATTCCCTTTTGAAAGCTATTATCGAATTTGCTTCCACCACCCTTTCAGACAGTGCATTCCAGACCGTACCAACCCTCTGGGCAAAAAAATGTTTCCTCGTCTCCCCTCTGTTTCTTTTGCCAATTTTCTTAAATCTGTGTCCTTTGGTTACCGACCCACCTGCCAGATGAAACGGTTTCTCCCTATCCACTCTGCTCTAAAGAGAATAATCCCAGCCTCTCTAGTCTCTCCACGTAACTGAAGTCCCTCATCCCTGGTATCATTCTGGTAAATAAGAAAAAGTACACTGAAAACTATCCACGCATTTGGTCCAGCTCCTTCTGCATGACGACATCTCAAACCGCTTCACAGGATTTAGTGTAAAGTAAGTAAGCGCTCTGAGATGCTGCCCTGCGTGAAGGGCGCGATATAAATGCAAGTTATTGTTGTAAAAAAAAAACCGGCTGAGCCAGGCTGCCACCAAATAACATCCAAGGACCTGGGTATGAAATTCCTGTATAAATTTCTTCACATGGGAACCGAAGGAGACTGTTCCACAATTTATTAAAATATTCTTAAGTGTTTTTTAATCCAATTTTCCCAACTTTTCCTTTCATGTCACAAACACCTTTGTTTCCAAAGTATTGTTTACTTTGGAAACAAATCAATCCCAATTGATTCTTCCTTTGTGACTGTATATTCTATACGTACACAACCTTGAGTCTGAGGAAATTTTTTCTGATCTCTCTCCTATGCATGCTCTTTTCTCCATACAGTCCAAGAATGGCACACACTCCCTTCTCTAATTATAATAATCTTTCTATTTGATATAGAGCGTTACATGCCGTTGAGATGTATCAAAGAACTTCGCAGAATATACTGCAAAGTGAATTGACTGCACATTTTGTGAGCGAAAAACAGCAGCCTGTTGCGCACAACTGTGTCCCACAAACAGTTGTGGATTAAGTGACCAATTTATTATTATTTATTTGAAGGGATTATTACCCCTGGAAGGCGATCTACCAATCGACTAACAACCGGGTTCCTACTTATTGCTAGATAAACAGAGGCGTGTGGATGAAGGAAACTTGCCAAAGGTTTCGCTTCGCCCGGGTATTGAACACGGGTCCTCTCGCTTGCGAGGTGGGTGCTCTAACCGGTACGTTACACGTCTTGTGCGTGTATAGCAGGTGCGTAGACCTCTGCTCCCTGCACCCCCCCACCCCAACGCGCCTTAACTCTGCATCCATGCGGAACCCAACGCTGCTAATCTCCTCCAAAACCCTTCTCCCGTTCATACCCTCTCTTCCAACTCAAGACTGCCCTACCATCAGTGTCTGAGTTTTCAGCCACGAACACCCCCAACCGATACTCACTCCCTAAATACCATTGTTTTAAACGCTCTCTTTTAAACCTGTCTTCAAAAAAAACTCCTGAAAAGCCCGGGCATGGAGAAGAATATCATGGGGAGGAGGTGGGAGCCAGGGTTCGGACATTTTCTGCCCGAGAGGCCTGAATCCTGGCCAACAGCCCTTCAGGTGTCAGCCTGACTCATTTGGCAATACTTTTACCAGAGTGAAAAGGTTGTGGGGTTCACGCCCCACTTTGTTTTTTGAGTTCAGTCGAGATGGATACTGCAGTGCGCGCGGGGCCGAGGGACGCGCTGCCCGGGGCCGAGGGGCGCACTGCCCGGGGCCGAGGGGCGCCCTGCCCGGGCCGAGGGGCGCGCTGCCCGGGGCCGAGGGGCGCGCTGCCTGGGGCCGAGGGGCGCGCTGCCCGGGGCCGAGGGGCGCACTGCCGGGCGAGGGGCGCCTGCCCGGGGCCGAGGGGCGCGCTGCCCGGGCCGAGGGGCGCGCTGCCCGGGGCCGAGGGGCGCGCTGCCCGGGGCCGAGGGGCGCCGCCGGGCCGAGGGGCGCGGGGCCGAGGGGCGCGCGCCGGGGCCGAGGGGCGCGCTGCCCGGGGCCGAGGGGCGCCCTGCCCGGGGCCGAGGGGCGCACTGCATTGCCTGGAGGAAGACACAAAACAGAGTCTGGGCTGCAGGTTAAGGTGGACATTAAAGATCTCGTGGAACTATTGGAGGAGAGCTCCAGTGTCCTGACCACCAATCCTCCGGATATAATACTGATCATTCACTCATGGGACACTCCTCACCTCCCCTCCCCCCACTCCCTCCCTCCCTCCTCCTCCCCCCTCCCCCCACTCCCTCCCTCCCTCCCCCCCCTCCCCCTCCCTCCCTCCCTCCCCTCCCCCCTCCCTCCCCCCCTCCCTCCCTCCCCTCCCTCCCTCCCTCCCCCCCCCTCCCTCCTCCCTCCCTCCCTCCCTCCCCCCACTCCCTCCCTCCTCCCTCCCTCCCCCCCCTCCCTCCCTCCCCACCCCCCTCCCTCCTCCCTCCCTCCCCTCCCCCCACTCCCTCCCTCCCTCCCTCCTCCCCACCCCCTCCCTCCCCCACCCCCTCCCTCCTCCCTCCCTCCCCTCCCCCCTCCCTCCCCCTCCCTCCTCCCCTCCCCCTCTCCTCCTCCCTCCCCCCTCTCCCCTCCCTCCCTCCCCACCCCCTCTCCACTCCCTCCTCCCCCCTCCCCTCCCTCCTCCCCCCCTCCCCTCCCCTCCCCCCTCCTCCTCCCCCCTCCTCCCCCCCCCTCTCCCTCCTCCCCTCTCCCCTCCCTCCTCCTCCCCCCCCCTCCCCCATCCCCTCCCCCTCTCCTCCTCCCCCACCCCCCTCCCTCCTCCCCCCCTCCCTCCCCTCCCCCACCCATCCCCTCCCTCCTCCCCCCCTCCCTCCCCACCCCCCTCTCCCTACCCCCTGACAGTGGCCTACCTCAGGCCTGAGAGCGGCCTACCCCGCCAGCCTATCAGTGTGTGTGTGGGGGGGCAATCGCCGAGACACACACACACACACACACACAGAGATGAAGATTACCCGCCCGAGTGCCGGAGTGAGGAGGCCCGAGGCCCACCAGCCGCACACTCACACACACAGGGAGGGAGGGAGGGAGGGAGGGCCTCGCTGTCCCCGTGCTGATGAATTGGGCTATTTTCACGCCCGATTGGGCGGGTTGGTCTTGTGCTGCACTGAGAGCCTCTGGGGACCAACGGCAGCGGCGCGAGCCTCACCTTCAAACATTTTTAAAATCTCTTTCCAAGAAATGTGTGTGTTCGAGTGTGAGTTTGTGTGTGAGTGTGAGTGTGTGTGTGTGTTCGAGTGTGTGTGTGAGTGACACTGTACAACACACAATCACCTGCAGACACTTACAGACAGACCCGACACTCACACAGACTCTTAACCAAACATTTCTATGTAATTAACGTCGTTATTGCCCTTATTTCCCCCCCCCCCCACCCACGAGGAAAATAATCCCCTTCCCTCCCCCCCCACCGCCCAAAATAATAATAATAATTCGGTCTCTGGAGCCGAGGCGGGTGTGCGGGGGGCGGGCGGGGTGTGCGGGGGGGCGGGCGGGGTGTGCGGGGGGGGCGGGCGGGGTGTGCGGGGGGGGGGGCGGGCGGGGTGTGCGGGGGGGGCGGGCGGGGGGTGGGCGGGGCGGTCACTGAGCAGTTGGTGCCATTGTTCAGTTTAATTTTAAAAAATCGCCTAAAATGGGCGTGAAACCCGCCCAAAGATAGCGGCGCTGAGGGCGGGCGGGAGAGGGAGGGAGGGGAGTGGCGGTGACGGTGACGCGGGGGGACTGCTGACCCTCACACACGCACGGCTTGTTTACAGCGGAGCGGGGCCGCGGGCCGGGCGGCGGGTCAGACACACAGACCCGGGGAGAGAGAGAGAGAGGGAGAGGCCCGGGCGGGGAGCGGAGAGACTCCCCCCCCACCCACTCCACCCCGCAGACATACATACATACATACATACATACATACATGGCGGCTGAGGCGGCGGGGCAAAGGCTAAAGGCGAACAAGCGGCTCCGGTAAGGTGAGTGCGTGGGGGGGTCTGTGCGTGGGGGGCTGTGCGTGGGGGGGGGCTGTGCGTGGGGGGGGGGTCTGTGCGTGGGGGGGGCTGTGGGTGTGTGGGGGGAGGGTCTGTGCGTGGGGGGGTCTGGGTGGGGGGGTCTGGGTGCGGGTGGGGGGGTCTGGGTGCGGGTGGGGGGGCTCGGGTCTGGGTGCGGGTGGGGGGTCTGTGGGGGGGTCTGGGTGCAGGTGGGGGGGGTCTGGGTGCGGGGGGATCTTTGTGGGGGGGTCTGGGTGCGGGTGGGGGGGGTCTGGGTGGGGTGGGGGGGTCTGGGTGCGGGTGGGGGGGTCTGGGTGCGGGTGGTGGGGCTCTGGGTGCAGGTGGGGGGGGTCTGGGTGCGGGTGGGAATTATTTGCGCACAGGGGATTGCGCACACGTGTGGGAGGAGGGGATTGCGCACACGTGTGGGAGGAGGGGATTGCGCACACGTGTGGGAGGAGGGGATTGCGCACGCGTGTGGGAGGAGGGGATTGCGCACGCGTGTGGGAGGAGGGGATTGCGCACACGTGTGGGAGGAGGAGATTGCCCCTCGCGTGTGGGAGGAGGAGATTGCGCACACGTGTGGGAGGAGGGGATTGCGCTTGTGTGGGGGGGGGGTGGGGATTGCGCACGCGTGGGGGGGGGGTGAGGATTGCTCGTCCGTGTGGATGGTGGGGATTTTGCACGCCTATGGGAGGGGATTGTGCGCAGGTGGGGGGGAGTTGTGTGTATGGGGTGGGGGGGCTGTGTGTGTGTGGGCTGTGAGCACACGCGTGTGTGTGTGTGGGGGTGTGCTGTGTGTGTGTGTGGGCGGGCGCCGGGGTGGGGGCTGGCTGGGCGCAGGGGGCTGTGCATGCGGGGTGGGTGGGGTGGCTGTGCACCGGGGGGGGGGGGGCTGTGGAGGAGGGGCTGCTGTCTATGTGTGCGTGTATATGCGTGGGATGGGGCCTGTGGTGGGCTGTGTATTGGGGTGAGGGGCTGTGTCTGCTCTCTGTATGTTGAGTGGGGGGCTCGGTATGTGGGTGGGAGGGGTGTTCCGGGTCTGCTTTGAAAACTTAGGGAAAACAGTTGCACCTCAAGGCCACAATATTGATCCGGTGAAACCTCCTCCCTGGCTTCCTTCGTGTCAGCGGTATTGTTTCTGCTCAATAATTGCTGAGTCGTCGCCGTCTCACACGCAAATGACACACAATTTGTGTATTCAATTCTTTTAGAAGGCAGTTATGAACTTTTCCCTACAGTTGTATCTGATTAGTTCCTCCTTATCCGATAGTTAAATAACTGCATCAAAAGGTTTTCTTTTGTCATTTCAAGTCACTTCTGGAAATTTTATTTTGTTTCTTTTCCTCTTTTTCGCAATATCTGGACAACACAAAAGCCTGGAATCAGACGTATTTTCTCTTTTAAATTTTATCAATAATAATTTTTACATATTCTGTGTTGGTAATTCAACTGATTGCCTTCTTTTCCGATCAGTCACTGGGGCCAGGGGGCACTGGGGGCAAAGCCCAAATGGGTAGGGTGATCCTAGCTGGAACAGCAGCGGGAACGTTTGCCAGCGATATCAATGGCAAGGTACGTGGTTCGACTCCAGCAGTTAACACCAAGGAACACTCTGGGGTCCCCAAGCCTCGGCTCTTTCCGACCTGCGCCTAATACTTTCTGGGATTCGATAAGCAGGATGTGTCCCTCCTGGGAGAGAGCGTGCATTTCATTCCAACAATCGATCTCTGGGATTTCCATGTGGTAGGTGGGATCCATGGAAATCTCAGCTTGGTTTGGGTACTCTTTAACACGGTGATGGGTTTCCGTATGTGTCAGACACCCAGCTGACCAAAAGAAAAAAAATTCCCTTTTTTGACCTGGGGGTGTGGGGAGGGGGAAGAGAGAAGATTCGGGGAACTTTTCTTTGGTGCAAACATTCGCTAATCTGAGGGATTCTCCGCGTGGGGGTTTCTGCGAAGTGGTAACCAGCTGATTCTGGAGAGCATAGTCACTGTTCCAGCCTGCGACTGTTATGTGAATTATTTATCAATATTCTCCTGCTTTTAAGTAGTAATTGAATTTCAGCAGGTTTTGTGGAAGCCTCTTTACGTGGTTCTTTGTTGATTCGATACGTCTTCCAGCCCCTCGTATTAATAATTGATGGCTGTTCATATGATCAGCAGCCCGATCTGTCCTGTGTTTTCTGAACGGTTTCCTTTCATCCAGTACTGTGCCTATTTATCCTGTTCAGGATAGTTTTCTTGCTTGGAGGCGTTGCCAGTGTCACCCGATGAGGGGTAATACAGAGTGCTTTTTTATATTCTCCAATCTCCTTTCACTTTTGTCTCCTTCATCTCCTCACATTTGCCTGTGTCTGCAATTTCATAGGTAGCCCCAGTACCTGGCCTATGTGCTCATCCCTTTAAGGAATATCTCTGTTGTATATTAACTGGCTGTTTGACCATTAGGAAGGTAGGAAGAAAATAACTTGCATTTCATACTGCAAAATGTTTCAAAGCACTGATTGATTTCTGTAGAAGACACGTTTACCAATAGTTCTGGATTTTCCAAATGGATTTTCAGGAGGAGCAGTCTGGCTCAATTGGTCGAATGCAGGGCTTGGGTGGCATTGTCGGAGGTGCTCTCCACTGGATAAGATGTTTAACCCTCTGACTGTTCAACAGCAATGCCTGAATTCTCCATTCTCCCCTTGTAAACCCCTGAGACCAATTTCTCAACCCAGCTGTGACCAACAATAACAATCATTTTAATTTCCCAAACCTGCCCAGCTGACTGGGAGCCCAAGCTTTTTTTTTGGGGGGGCGGGGGGGTTGAGGAGGAGATACCGTCCAAAACCAGGATCAATGTCTGGTGCTTGTGCTGTGGTGAATCGCAGGGTTTACAGACCGTAAACTCAGGTCACGTGGGAATGGAAGCCAGTCCACAAAGTAACACTTAACAGCTTTTTTCTCCTAGGAGTGTGAATTATTGTGTGGTTAGTAACAGTTTCATTTTTGATTGCCAGATTTTTTTTTACCACCACCTGCTGCCTCCGCTAGACTGGCTCTGGCCTACTGCATGTCCCTTGTGCCCCTCCGTTCCACCATCGGTGGCTGCACTTTAGCCACTACGTTCCAAAACTCTGGAATATTCTTTTTCTTCTTCTGCCTTGCCCTTTCCTTCCCCATTTTCAGATCACGCCTGAAGACCATCCTCTTTGATGGTGCATATGATCACCTCCTACCGACTTGGTGTTGTGCTCTGCCATCGTATAGCGTATTAGTCAACTGACCATCCTTTTGGCTGGACTCTCTGGTGTCAGATTCTACATACTATTGAAGGCTGACCCTTGTGTCTTGCAGTCTAACAGAGGGCTGATCAGAGGGCACACGTATCCGTGTACTCTCCGCAGCTGTAGCCAGTGGTAACAGTGAGGAGATTTCCTTAGTGAGTTCTATTCAATCCACCACCCATCTCTAATAATTGGTAAACAATATGGAAATAAATAACAAACACGCAGTTGCCATATAGATATCCTCTTCAGAATTGCTGGGCGTGGGCTAAGAATATTTAGGTTGCCTTGGAAATCCTATGAAAGCTTTTAGCAATAAGCAGTGGTGTGTGATGCTTTCAGTGACCGTACCTGAATTCATAGCCCATGGAACATTAACGTGCTGACAATAAGGTGCCCGTCTACTCCCCTGTGGGCTCCGGTCTGCTCCATGTCCCCAACCCGACTTGCCCACCCCACCATTGGCAGTCGGGCCTTCAGCCTTTCTGCCCCCAATCGTTTGAAACTCTTTCCCACAGTCCCTGTGCCTCGCCCCTCCCTTGCCTTCTTCAAGGCCCATCTCAAGACCTTCCTCTTCGACCATGCCTTTGATCACCCTCCCCCTCCCTGTCCTCCACCCCTCCTGATCCCAACCCCCAGCTCAGGTGAAAATCCTTGATTGACCAATGCCTTGGGACGTCCTCCCAACTTGAAAGGTGCTGTAGAAATACAATTTGTTCTTGTTTCAGTGTCACAGGTAACTGATCTCAAGTGTAGCAACTATTTATCGGCAAATGTGACAAGTCAATGTATTCAGAGTTTTGTCCCACAAAACAAATGACCAATTTATCTGGAGGATTGTTGACTGACCCAATCATGTCACATCGTGTATATTCTGAACAGGCAGACATGATCCCGGTTTAATGCCTCAACCAAAAGAGGGAATCTCTGACGAGGCAGTGCTACACCTCAGTGTTTGGCTGGAGTGTCAGCTTAAACTGAATTCAAGACCCGACTTAAACACGTAGCCTTCTGGTGACTAGACTCTTAAGTCGTGTTAATTCTTTTCCCTCAGTGTCTGCCTCAGAAGCTCGCTTGTTCAGGCTAATATCTCCTGTCCTCCAGGTAAATATCCAGAACTGAGCAGAACCTATAGGACGCCAATGGAGAGTTGATATGTACCGTATATCTGGAACAATGTTAATCCTGCCTCGGTAAACCTTCTGTAAAGATTGCCTCCATTGAAGCAGCTGCCTTTTCAATTGGAAGCCTCAGCTTGGCACAGTGCCACACTGCAGCAGTCTGATGGGTATTTAAAGCAGCTTTGTGAGTTTATTTTAGATGCTTTCAGTGTTCTCTCCTGTGTCCTGCTTCAAAGACGGCGAGGAAAGAACTTGTGTTTTCATAGCGCATTGTGACACTTAAACATCTCAAAGTGCTTTACATTTTGCACACAGCAGGGTCCCATACACAGTAATTAAATCTGTGGAAATCTTGACCAGGACACCAGGAGAAACTCCTTTCTTGTTTTGAGTCTTGTGGGATCTTTAACGTCCCATCTGAACAGGCAGATGGAAAGGTCAATGGGACGTTTCATTGAACAGAGTCAAAACTGTAACTTTTTAAAAATGTCAGTGTCGACAACAGCAGCTGGATGCTTGTATTCCATTGAATAAGGTAATCCAGGCTCGGAGCCATTTCTTTTTGCAGGTATATTTAGTGCATAATT